TGTATTTTATAACGGGAGTTTTCGCGCAATCACTGAAAAACCAAAAGCAGTCCTGTTGTTCCAGCTTCTGTTTCATCTTCTTAATCGATAGATTGGCGCATGCAGCGTGAAAGTTCTTCTGGCAATGTGTGCATGGCATTCTTGTTTTGACCTCCTTTCCGCATCCTGTTGAACCGCACACACTCAAACCTTGTGTGACTAATTGCGTTGACAAACTTCGGCGACCCATTCTTTGTTCACTGTGAACGGCAAGATGGGAGTGTTGGCAAAGGTCAAATGAAGCGAGGTCGAATTGGCTGAGTGAACCACACTCGGTGAGAAAAGTGTGCGTGCAAGACAAGGACCGGGGGCAACCGGTGCGTATCGATCGTTGCGATCGGAAATGGATGGAAGGACACGTGCAGACGCGATGGAGAACGGAACAGAATTGAATAACAGTTTATATCCGTAACTCTGTTAGAAATGATCTCAGACAGCTGAAAAATATCTCGTTGGATAGAGCGTAGAATTTTCTTCAAAACGATATCACAATGAAGATACGGCGTGAAAACTTGAACAGGCTTACGCGCGTGAATAAGAGGGAGATTTTGCTCCGAACATTCTAGCAGTGGAAACGTGATTCACGTAGGTTATATATCCAAGAGAGTGATGAAACTCATCGAACTGAGTCGAATGAGCGCGAACTGGACGTAGTACGGCGAGTTTTGACACAGAAAATCCACTAAATTGAGCGACCGCACGGCTCAAATGCCGGTGTTGGAGACAACCATGTGCTAAAAATGTATTATCTTCCCACCCACTGTCACATCCCTATGGGAGTCCAGTGTAAGATGTAATCCAAATGCGTTTTATCATAGGCGAAGTTTGCCGCTAAAATATCAGTTACTGATTTATTTAACAATTTGTAATGGCTTATTTTTTAATGGTCTATGGGGCAGTGATGGCGACCGGACATTTGTGATCAGGTTCTGGAGCTCGTAATGAACCTAGCAACATGTTTCTCCTTGGTGAATAAAATTAACTTATCATTCCTAAATGGCCATGTTTATGCCATTTCCTGTTTCATTTGTAATTTATCTAGTTTCCAGCTCAACCGATTGCAAAAGATTTGACTAGTGAGCGACCCACTGGATTGCCTCAAGTTCCAGCCCGTCCCACACAAACGCAATCAGGGCGCACTAGTCAGAATCCGGGCTCCGGTGTACCTGCTCCAGCTATCCATGCTCTTGCCACTGGTGGTGGTGGTGGTGGTGGGGCTATTCCTCCTGGGTTTCGCATCCACCCCCCTGCTACGAATGCAGATCCAAGTGAATCACGTATCATTGAGGATGCGATCACACGACGTGTTGTGAGACCGACCGCTAGCTGTGACCCGTCCCCACAGGCAACAGTCACAAATGCACCCGATTCCTCCGCACAACCACAGCAGTTGGAATCAGATATGATGAATATTAAAAAGATGTCATCTGTTAAGGAGCTGTCCGAATCGACCGATAGTTCCGTACCACCAACCATCGTGGTTCCTCCGGCTTCAGATACCACATCACCAAAGGCGCCCATTCAATCGGAATCTGTGGCTAATCAGGTAAAGTCAATGTTTGATTCTTCATCGTAACTGACAACCTCGGTTCTCGTATCGGGAATGGCCGGGGCTCTCTAGTTTCGTCACTCCTATTGGTTAAGTCTGTGTTCTATTCCTTTTCAACCAGAAGCCACAAATGTCCTTCAAAATCTTCGGGATGAGTGCGTATTCGGCTCGCCATCGGATAACACTATGAGCATTGTCCTTTTGACCTACAATTACCACTGAGTTGGGCAAGGGCTAGTGGCGCGACCTTCGGAAATGAGACTGACTTTGCTAATCGGTAATATGTGTAGATTCTTCCATAAAGTCGATTTATCTTCACGGAGCAAGTCATGTGAACGTAAAAATGAAGGACACTGGTCGTGACCTTATAGTGTACACATGATTGTGGGTACTACATAGAAGGACGCACAGGAACGTGTTTCCCGTGATGCGTACTGCTCAATCGCATCGATAATAGCTGCATGCGTGACGTGACACGTTATTTACCACACCGTGACCTCTGACCCAGTTGGCTCAGAAATCATTAAATGGTTGATACCACTGTCTGGTGGTCGATGCACATTTATCTGTCCACTGAACGATTCAGTTATTTTGACAGGCGTGAGTTGGATGGATGTTTTGTAAAAATGGCTGTTGTGTACATAATTCGCAACCATGTATTGCGAACCCTTCGGACAGACAGAAATTGAAATCTGTTTTTCCTACGTAATGGTGCATTACTGGCCAAATTTATGGGCAACTGGGCATTCGAGGGGTGACCGTGACTCAACTATGTCTGCACCATTGTTAGATTCTGTTATTCAAGACGTGATCAAAAGAGTTGTAAAGCAGTTAGTTAGCATGGGGCTGCACAAGGAATAATAGATGTTTCGTCTCTTGACATTTTAGTTCCATTGAGATTTCATCTCACGAATTTCTGTACTTCTTGTCAGTCCAAAACTCCGCCCAGCACAGATGCTGCCGTTGCTTCATCGAAAAAACCAGACGTTGAGACCAACAGCACGAAACCCTCGGGAAACAAAGTCGCATTCAGCGAAGATGACGAGGAGGATGAGGAAGAATCGGACGAGGATGAAGACGATGATGATGATGACGACGACGNGTTGACGATGATGGAGACGATGCGGAACAGGACACGGTTTCACATGGGAGAACACAAAACCTCAATCAAACAGTGCGTGCAACCAGCAGTTTGGAACCTTGTGTTCCGAATAAAAAGCATACGAGCGAACCTCGAATGCAGGCTCATGAAACTGGTCTAGACGACGACCAACGGGAACAGCACAGGCACAGTGAACAGCAGCAACAACGAAGACAACCATCAAAAGACACCACTGCAACTCTTTCTTGCTTGAAGTCTCGCCAAACTGAACTTACCGGATCATGTCCGAATCTGGCCGGAGCGACCAGGTTCAAATTGGGTACAAAGAACAAACATACGGGTTTGAAGACACAAGCAGCCGCGCCTGTGGTGACAAAAGCTAGTGCAACCGAAAACGAGCAAACTGCAAAGCCATCGGAAGCGGTTACGACCATTGCTGCGAAGATGCACGCCACAGATCCGGCTTCAAATGTGAAAGATGCTGCTCCGGTACGCTTTTGTCATTATTCATTGATATTTTTTATCCCAGGAGATTGGAATCCATACTTTCGCATGTGTGATATGCTGATTACCTTCACACATCCTTTTGCGTCTCAAAATATCCGCTACCAGTCGTTTCACACCTTCATGACCTATATTTTCTATGCACACTAGGTGATTGATTGATATACATCCTTGAGATATGTTCCAAGAGTTCGTATTGTGTGTTATGTTTGTTGTCAATCAATGGTGGCGAAAACGGGCTTGTGATTGACCTCAACAAGTTAAGCCTGAACTAAAACGTTATTTGGTCTTCACGCTTTGTGGAAGACCATTGTCGAGTTACATTGTGTTAAATTTACTATCTTAGAGGGACCGTATGCTGTATCGTGTAACTTGTGCAAGCTCTGAGGCTTACATTTCAACTAAATACTATACACGCCAATCGTCACATATATTGTATTTCAGGGGTGGATTGTTTATAAACACAGTGAAGACCTTTCATAACTTAAGGTTAAGTAGCCATTCACTTGTTCCCCCTCTCTGTGTTTGCGAATAAACGTGCAAGAGCACTTGTAGAATTTGAGGTGGTTTTTCGGATTCAGAGTGCGTGCCCGAAAGGTTTTTTTCAATTTTGCACTCCCGTTTATCCTTATAACCGAAGCTGAGTCTGATCTTACGACACTTTTTCGCTCGAGTTCACCACAGAACGTGGTGTTCGTAAAAGTTTTTCCCCTTTCTCCTTTTCCATTCCGTTTCTATGATCTGTATGCGTTTTGCACCTTTAAAGTGGAAAATGTTTCTGCAGGACTGGATTGGCCCTAAACCTTGCTAACTGGGAAAGTAGAAGAGAAAGTATACCAATTTTGCTATTTGGACAACCATATCTCAGCTAGTGGACACATCACCGATGAAGTATCGGCATGCATTCAGGAGGCTCCATTACCGTCTGTGGCACGGTCGTGACATCCGGCTGTCTGTGAAGAGTCGACTGTATGCTGCAGAAGTGCTACTTTGTAGTGCAAAGACTACAGCAACAGGATAAAGATAGACTATCGGTGGAAATATTTGTGAAGACCGACCTAGTGGAGCTTTAAGTGGTTCGCCATTCCAAGTCCGGGGAATTAGGTTACCGGTTTTCATGATAGAGCAGCAGGTCCGTGAGTATGGCGTCCACCCCGTCTTCTGTTCACCACTCACATGTGCATAATAAAAAGT